AACACAGGGGAAAGTTTCTTACATAATTATTTTCCAACATAAAACTGGAAAGAGTAAAAATAGAAATATCCTTTATTGTCCTGCAAATTCGAATCAAATCAAGATATAAAGGTACACAAGACAAAAAGTAATTTATATACAGTATGTTAGAGTATCATATGTTACTTCCATGAACACTATACAGTATAATATTTACTTCATCCTCACTTGGTCTCTCACTTGAAAAAAGAGGTCAGCAGATAGAAGATATAGAAATAGATACTTTTTATTTCACTAAGGGGTTTATGTTTTCCGGGCTGCTCAGTGGCGCAGTGGGTAGCACTGCTGCCTTGCAGCAAGAAGGTTCTGGGTTTGATTCCCTGGGGTCTTTCTGCATGGAGTTTGCATGTTCTCCCTGAGCATGGGTGGGTTCTCTCCGGGTTCCTCCCACAGTCCAAAAACATGACCGTTAGGTTCATTGGCTTCTCTAACTTGTCCTTAGGTGTGAGTTTGTGCATGAATGGTTGTGTGTCTCTGTGTTGCCCTGCGATGGACTGGCGACCTGTCCAGAGTGTAGCCCGCCTCTCGCCCATTGACTGCTGGAGATAGGCACCAGCACCCCTCACGACCCCACTCGGGACAAGCGTGTAAGAAGATGGATGGTTTATGTTTTCCTTGGTTCAATTCAGTTTATTTCTATAGTGCCATTCACAACACATGTCATCTCAAGGCACTTTACAGTTCACCCGATCATACATTCAAATTGATTCAAAGTTTTTTATCTAAGGAAAACCAGTTGATTGCATTGACTCATTGACTCGGCTGCAATCCCTCTCACTAAGCATGCTTGTAGCGACAGTGGAGAGAAAAAACTCTCTTTTAACAGGAAGAATACTCCAACAGAACCAGGCTCAGTGTGAGCGGCCGTCTGCAAAGGCTGACTGGGGTTCAAGGAGACAGGAACAGGAAACACACAGCCAGGCAGACGTGCTCTGAGCCAACTCCTGTGTCAGAGGATGAAGAGAGCACATCCAGCCAGTCAAAGTCCGAGAAATAGGACACAGGAAAAACAGGTCAATCTCCAACATTTATAAACAAAATTGTTGATGGCAGCGGCACAGTTGATATTTCTCTCCAGGGTGGTGTCACAGCCAAACATGAACAGATGAGGCTAAGCTACTATGAGAAAAGGCAGAGAGAGCATAATGTTAGAGAATAAATTATAAATAACCAATAACAGGACATTGCTGTTGAACCAACATAACTCCTCATTCAACTTTTAAGTTCTGGATACATAAAGTATCCAGAACTTAAAAGATCTGGATATTTTGGTGTACTTTCTTTGTTAGACAAACAATACCTCATTATGAATTTACTCAAGTCAAAGCAAAGCATACAGTGCAGTAAACTGCAATTATAATACGTTAAAAAATAATTAATCAAGTAAATGTAACGGAGTAGTTACACTTAGTTATAAACCCACATAGGTGAGTGGTGTATAGACGCTAAACAGAGAGACATCACCTCAAATGTCCTTTAACTCCATTTTTTGCTCTTCGCTCTGGTTTACAAGCCAAGATCCAAGTGGACTCTGTAGTTGGAGGAAATGTTTCTCAGTAACAGGGCATGCAGCCAAAGCTTAATGCAGGCTTTCAGTTGTGATGTTTCAGGCATGACTTCTGTTTTATACCTAGGTTTACAGTAAAAGGGTAAGAATAATTTAGGAGGAAGAGGCTTGCATTTATTAATAAGACTCCCCACCAGCAGAGCAGATTATAATTGTGTCACTGAACAGAGTGGCCAGAAGATCAAATCCCTCCAAATGAGATAAACTAGTTCTTATTTGCTAAAAGAAAGTATAAAGAGTTCATTTCTTTATATCCCTGAGTTTAAAATAATACATTGTCGCAGGCAATAAAAAGAGCAGGGTAAGAAAAAGAAAAAAACCTGGTTAAGTTTAAACTTTACATAAAATATGAGTATTACTTATCCAAATGTCCCGGTTTAGATGAAGTACAAACCAACAGGTTAGCATCGTATATAAGCAGGTCACTGCCTACCAGAGATGGCAAAAGTACTCACTTTCCGTACTTGAGTAAAAGTACAGATACTTGTGTTAAAAAATACTCTGGTAAAAGTGGAAGTACTGATTAAACTTCTTTACTCAAGTAAAAGTAACAAAGTACAGGCTTGTAAATTTACTTAAAGTATAAAAGTAAAAGTAGAAACCACTTTTTTCATGCCGTTGCCTACATTTTAAATGGATGTCTGCCAATAGGACTAGATCTCCGTTGTGTTCATTTTCAATCATCTCGTCGTCCATGCTACTATGCTAACGCCACCGCCACCAAGCTGCAATGATTTGCCGCCAATGAATACCGCCGAATCTGTCGATTCATCTTGTAGTGGTGCGACAAATGCAACGTAGATTCCCATCCAATTAGATTGAATTTGGTATTGATGACGTGAAAAATAATAACGGTAACTCCATTGAAATGATTCAAAACTAAAGTAACGAGACAATTTTTTAAAATGTAAGGAGTAGAAAGTACAGATATTTGTGTAAAAATGTAAGGAGTAGAAGTAAAAAGTCGCCATAAAAATAAGTAGTAAAGTAAAGTAAAAATATCAGAAAAATCTACTTGAGTACAGTAACAAAGTATTTGTACTTCGTTACTTCCCATCTCTGCTGCCTACCTATGTTGCTAACCGAAAAATTCACCATGGGTAACACGGTTTGTTTCCTGTTCCGTCTGTGTGATTAATAATACGATTAAAAAAGCAGCTTGAAACCAACTTAGCATTCTACATCCAGTTTTCTCCAGTTTGCTGAATCCAAAAACTAAAGGTAAAGTGAGGTTTTGGTCAGTTATGAATTTCATTTCATTCCAACGACTGACTTTTCCTTGCAGAAATAAACTTAAAAACTACATTGACTGTTTTACCCTAAATCCACACTCATTGGGCATCTTTACTAAACAGCTAGAAAAATATACCAGAACAAACCTGTTCTTCCTATTCCTTTCAAGGGAGTTATGCTTCACAAAAGTGTGTCTGGGACAAATAGAATCACTGAAACAGTATCATAAATAGAAGTTGCACTTTTTGATCTGCAGAAAATAGACCAGTATTGAGCATAGGAATCAATAGCATTTTGCTTTGAGTCTTTAAAACATGTGTTTGTGATTGAAGAATTACAACAAAAAGATCCAGAGATGCCGTTGTCTGAAGTCCAGCGTGAAGTTCCCAGAGTCAGGGATGATTTGGGGAGCCATGTCATCTGCTGCTATTTTCTGGCCACAGCAGTTGTCTGCCAAAATATTTTAAAACCAACTTTTTGATTGGTCTTATGTAAAAATCCAAATTTCTATGAAATTGAATTGTGGGCTTTCATTATCTTTAAGCCAAAATGGACAGAAATAAATGCTTTAAATAGATCACTGTATTCAAATAATCTAAAGATGTCTGTTCGATATAAAGGATTTCAGCAAAGTCTACAACACAATACCAGTGAGTACATGCAGAAGGAGTGAATTCTAAAGACTGAATAACTCAGTGCCATCAATCCATCTTCTACCTCTTGTCTGTTATATCATGAGAGGTGCCTATCTCCAGCAGTTTCCTTTCTATTAAGGCAGGGTACACCCTGGACAGGTTGCAAGTCCTTTGCAAGGCAACACAATCACGCAAACATACACACAGACCTAGCAGTAATTTAGCCTGTGGGAGGATGTTGGAGTACCCAGAGAGAACCCACACATGCACAGAGACAACATGAAAACTCCATGCAAGAAAAACCCTGGGCCAGGAATCAAACCTAGGATCTTTTTGGCTAAAGGCTACCAACTGCAGACAGTTTTTTTGATAAGTACGAATGAGATAGTTCATCCTACCAAATGTTCTATCCAAGAAGTATTTTGACATCATAACTCTGTTCACACTAAAACTGTGATGATGATGATGAGTGTGTTCTGATTTATTGCCGATTTAAAAGTTGACTTAAATGTAGAGGTCAAATTTTCCCACTGTGTTTCAGTCTGTTTAACCACATAAAAGGGGGACATTTATATTTGAATTTCATATGTCCCCTTTATTGTAAATAAGTCAAAGTTCAAATTCAGTCAAAGAAAGTAAGATATTGATTTCTATTAAAATCTTACTTCACAAATAATTAGAATTAATTTGTGATTAAAATGCTTGCACTCATCTAAAAATGGACAAATCTCTACAGTAAAGGTCAAACAAAGCCTAACAAAAAAAAAAAAAATTAAATCAATTTTAATTCTCTTTTTATGACTTTGACCTTTATTTACCAAAACTCCAGCTGAGATTTAACATTTATCTCCTTTCTAAAACTAACTTTTTGTAGAGATATGAACACAGCAGCTTGACCTCAACAATAACTGGATTCACTGAGTCCACAACAAGTTAGAAAATCCTTACTAAGAATGTTACTTTTGTTCCTCCGATTAGATTTTTTTTGGGTTGAGCTTTACCCAATTTCAGGGCATTCACCTTTCCTACCAAACAGGATGAGGACGACTAATGTGACCCTTTAGACCAGACACCATCTTATCATTTAAGCTCTTACTTTTGAGTCCAAAAGGTCACTATATCTTCTCCCTGACTGGGTATCTCAGTTGACTTTTCTAGAGTCACCTCCACTACTGTGAAACTGAAGTTTTGACCCTTTGAAGGGAAGATTGAAAAAATAAAGCCTTTGTTTTAGAAATAATTTATTTTTTTCCCCACATTGTTCTGTGTGCACCCTGAACCCACCATCAAAGTAGTTACAAACCATCTACCCAGTCTGCCTCCCTTCCTCCTTTCTCACCACAAATAGAAAGTGCACATTACTGTTCCCACAACATAATTCAATGCAGGTAAAACCGAGCTCAGACTTGACATGGCAGTGTAATAACAGCTTCATATTTCCCCCATCATCTCTGCAGCCCAAATACCCAAGTGAAATCAATAACCCAGCAGACTTTGCGTCTGATGGAAACGGTGCGTTTTCAATGAACAGCAGTGAGAGATGATGCCAAATATTTTTAAAGACAAGTTCTTTTTGCAGGTCTTGATTCAAAATCCGTGATTGTTTAGTGCGGGGAGAAAAAAACGAGTTAGCCTGCGCAGGAGCATTTCTCCCATCCTGAGAAGAGAGAGAAAGAGGATGCAAGCACTGACACAGAAGGACAAGGGATGCACTGGCAGAAAGTGAGCTGGAAATTCCTGTTTTTTATCCTCCAGCTCTTCCACGCTGCGCTATTCATATTTTCAATTAAAACATGAACAACTAAAGTGACTTTTTTTTTACCTTGAGTGTGATTTCTAGTTTAAAACATCTACTCTCCATTTTCTAACTCACTTCAAAGTCTTTTTCTCATCCTTTATTTTAAATCACCTGCCTGTCTGTATCCTGTCAGAGGAATCCGGGATGAACGACTGATGAAGACAACTCCTGTGGGGTAGCAGTGATTCACCGAGTCTGGATATTGGAAAGATTTTTTTCACCTTCTTTTATGAAACCCCATCAAGTTTACATTTGTCGGATCTATTCGGGAGACTGCGGCGGTTCAGTGAAAAGCGCGCTGGTGTTTAATTCAGCGATGCGCTCCGCTGGGAAATACTGTGTGTTCCTGCTCCTGCTTAAAAGTGTCCTGTCGGACTCAGGAACCTCCAACCAAGGTGAGTTCTGCTGTGCAATAACAGCACACTAGGGGAAAGATCTCACTAGATCTAACAATTAAAAGTAGTTAAAAAAAACATCCGACATATACACCTATATGCCTAATAAGATGCAGACCACAGTTTGTTAATACAGCATGAGATGTTGCAGACATACTAATATTTGGACCACAGACACAATTCTAGTTCCATCTTATTTTTGTCCAACAAAAAGTGTCAATTTTGTCAATTTAAAAAATTACAGCTTAAGATTTAGTATATAAAAAAAAAAATAATTTGACCTACACTGCAAAAAATGCATTGAGCAGGTTAGTGAGACACTAATTGAATAAGACAATTTAAATTTAAATATATTATTTAATGTTTTTATTTCAAGGGTAAAAATGGTCATTCCATTTGTAGATCATCTTATTTTCCTACTCAAGTGAAGGTTACATACACTTATTTTAAGATTTTTTTCTCATTTTCAGAAAGTTTTTGCAGTGTAATTTATGTAAAGATACTGAAATAAGTAGAATATATCAAATTATGTCCTTCACCTCTGCATTATGAAAGCAGTAAACATCACCATGGCTAGATGGGCCACCGAATCTTACAGTAAATGTAAGCCTCTGGCAAACTGTCAGCTGCTGTGGAGGTGCATCTGTCTTTTTCCTGATGAGTTTCTATAGTGTATAAAAATATCTTAGGGTTCTCCCTGCCTGAAGATGATTGCTTGTGTATTAACACACACCATCTACGTTTTTTTTTATTATTATTATTATTATTATATTTGTCTACTTTTTGAAAAAAAAAACCCAAAAAAACAAAACTTAAACCATCTCTCACTCTCCAGACCTCCCCTGTTGTCACAGGGATATAGTTTGTGCAGCTGCATATACATGAGTAGCATAAGATATAATAATGTAATCTCTCTGCAGCTGCACTGTGTCACATGAGAAAAAAGTTACTGTAATGTAATCTGTTCTGCACATCTTCCACTTTGCACATTTGCAAGGGCGAGTTTAATATTCCACCTCTGAATGCTTAATGTTTAAGATACACATTTTCAAAGACGACAGGATTCTTCCCACTGCAGCCAAATGTCAAAGTATCCTTTTCTTCATTTTTCTGTGTGTGTGTGTGTGTGTGTGTGTGTGTGTTTTCCCACTAGGACACCTGTCTGCCTGTGATGGTGACAGGTTTGAAGAAAAGGAGGTACACTCAGGGGAACTAAAAAAAAAAAAAAAGACAACGTGAGATGTTTAAAATACACCTAGAAAGAGCCAATACATGGCAGTTAGTTGTGTAATGAATATGATTTATTTCTCATGCTTCACGGAATTGGGGGGAGAGAATATTTTGTCTTTATATAACATGTTATTTATAGAAGAATTAAGTTTTAGAGGTCAGAGTAATTTTAGGTTGTTTGCCTTGAATAAATAAAAACTGAAACTGAACCTGTCATTGTAACTATGTCTACTCCAAGGTCAAGTTGGGATGTTTGAAAGCACACATTCCTTGAGCTTTTGTTATTACATAAAACCAGTATAAATAGGTCATACATCATTTCGCTTCTCAATATTACAAATTTTGAGGTTTAGAGAAGGAGCTGTGAAGCTGGATGTTGTAGCTAAAAACAGCCTTTACACTAATAAAATAGATGTAGCTTTATAACACAGAAAAGCAATTTGATAGTTATGTAACAGATCCATTAAGCATTTACATAGTGGTGTGCATAAGTCATCTACCTGTACTAAGGGCTTATGAGCGTGTTTTTGCATCATTCTGAAAATGGACTCCTAAAAAGCATTTTGTCAAAGGGAATGGTTTGGAGTGTCTTTGTGTTTAAGCGACGTTGCCTAAAAGCCTAAGGTACTGGCTTTAAATATTGGTAGACCTCATCGCCACTTATAAATGTTGACCTGAGGTCCTTTTTCCCTCTACAGAACTGCACACATGGTGGAATTGATATGCAAACAACAAGCGGAGTGAAATTAAAAAGTCTACAGTATATAGTGAGAATACAACTTTTTAGCATTAATGTATACAATGTATTCTAGGTAATATGCTTATCTACTTATTAAGTGTTTAGTTTAATACTGCCATCCTGTTTTATCTCTGTTTAACCATCTTGCAATCATCTCTAATTTACTTTTAGAAGATAATAATCGCCATCTTGTGTGTTCAAAAGTAAGAATTTTATTGATATGTTCCATTTTTAATTGTTTGATTTTTTGAAGCAGAAAACATGCATGTGTAATGGCTTTAAATGCTTTTAGGTCAGGGGTCGCCAACCGGTCCTCATCAACTGATTGCAATCTGAACATGATGACTTGATGAGATGAATGGAGTCTGGTGTGCCTTTGCTTGGTTGGAAAGAAAACCTGCAGCCACACGACCCTTTCTGGAACTGGTTTGAGACCCCTGCTCTAGGTGGATAATGTTGTGATCTAAGGTATTCAGGTATTGCTGCAGTTTTATGTTTTAGCTTAATTTAAGATGCTTTGCTGGTTGCCCTTCTCAAAAACTAATCTGTGTAATTTGGGATTGTCGAATCAGTTACTGAATTAGTCATTTGACCCTAGTGCCCCTTTATGACAGTCTGTGCCCCCGTTAAACACCAGAGCTTGTTGTTGGCTAGCCAACAATACAGATATGAATCTTAACGGATCAGAGATATTTTTGGTTCTCTGGTGTAGGATGCAATCTAGCAACCTATTCTCATTATGAGTGCGTATGAAATCATACGAAAAGTTATGCACCGTAATTTCGTACATTTTGGACGTTTTTTTCGTCATATGCGCATGCGCATCTGATGCACCATTCACGAATATAGAATATAAATTACAATTAGCCCTAACCCTAAGATATAAAACAGCAAGCAATGTAGTTAGAGACATGAATAAGTGATTTTTGCACTGTTTTTCCCAGTTTTACGTCCGTCCGCGGATCTGCTTTTTTTTCTGTCTGCCAGCGCATGCGCACTGATGTAGTTTTTTGAGGAAAAACGTCCAAAACGTACGAAATAGTGTGCATAACTTTTCGTACGATTTCATACGCACTGATAATGAGGATATGTTGAATCTAGAGCGTGAATGTGGCCCTTTCTTTACAAATAGCTCCATCATTTCTCAGTCTTCTCTGCCCAAAGTTGTCAACTATCAGATTCCAAACCACTGCAGGAGACAAAAATTTTGCAACATTGCAGAATTGCCAGTTGCTTTCAGGGGCACCAAACGGAAGTTTCTGAACCCTGTAACAACCTGCCACCACCATGATTCACAGAGTGGGTTGGATGTTTTTAAGCAGATATGCAGTGTTTTTTAAGCCACATGACAGTTAGCAAGAAGTTGACCTTATTTTCATCTGACCATGGAACCTTCTTTCTGATTTTGGGCTTTCACCTTCACTGCTTGTGGCAGTGGTTGATGTCTTGGGTTCTTTGAAACGGTAGTTTACTTCTTGCTTTTATGAAGGGAAGATTTATGAACAACCTTTGGGTCTTTGGGAAACTTCTTGGAGCAAAGCTCTTCTAGCCCAACCTGTTAGTTTACGTGGACAACCGTGTAGTGGTCGGTTTATAACTGTGCCATAATCTATTTTCAGATGTTAAATTAATAAGTGCTTACAAAGTTTCAGTCCTTTAACCCAGATCTTTGTGTGTGTTTGTTGTGTTTTTTGGTTTTGATGCATTAGGTTTACTTCATGCTCTCCAGTGTTGAATTCCATTAGACAGGTTGACTATATTTATTGATGAGGCGACTGATAGAATAAATAAATTAGACTGAATATTTAGGGCTGTCAGAAAGAAATGGATAACTATTTAGCTACTCCAGAATTTTCTGAAATCTTTTTGTAACAGAAAAATAAATGTTACTCTATGTTGTACCAAATAACAATAACATATATTTGAGATTGTTTTATAGAAAGACAGAACATAAAGTTGAACTCTGAAAGCCTTGATATGTAGATGAACTGGAAACAGGCAAGATGTTCCCTGTCCACTCGAATAAAACTGCAGATCTGGTGTAAGAGTCAAATAGTGTCCATGTCATTGGTTTCGTCATAACAATGTGACACACTCTAAATGTATACTTTTCCCTCTAGCTTAGCCTGTGGCTCAGTGTTCAGCTCTTATGCCTTAGTTATAATATCTCATAAATAAAACCATCACTGTTAATAGGCCTCTCCTTTACTGTATGGTTGGAGGTGTCTTGTTGCAAACTTTGCTGTTGTCTTCATCACTGTTTTTGGGGAATGTGTCAGTAATTAAAACATGACAGGATTTCAGAACAAGGAGTCTGAAGTCTAGTATCTGAACACAAAGACATTCAGATCCAGTCTGCTCGAAGTAAAAGGACCCTGCTTTTTCTTTAGAGTATGCTGAATTAAACGCTGACGTTCATTTCTGCTACCATCTAATACAAAGGAAAATCATACTTACTTACAGTGACTTGATGAAGTAACTGTAAAGACAAAATTAAATAGCAGCTCTTTGCAGGGACAATTATGAAAGTGGCTTTCTGCTCACAATAGTCTTATTTGAATAAGCTTTTTTAGGAGGGAATAAATCTTTTGGAGAGAGAATATGTTATGCTTCCCTTTCTGCTATAATTTATTCAGTTATTACCTAAAGAAAGACAGCAAAAGTGCTAGATAGAATAGATAATTGAATACATAAAGAGCGTATTTAGGAAAAAGCAGTTTTACCTTGTTCTGTGCAGGACCTAGGACCAGGTGCTAAACATACTGGAATCATATTTTAGCAGAATGCCAAATAAACACTTTTGGGTCTTTATATGGCATTTTAGATTTAAATATCCAGACAGTCTTATAAAAGAAATATTTAAGATTAGACAGCTAATATTACCTGGGAGAGTATCTTTTCTAGAAGAAAGTCCACAAAAAGCAGTTAAATGCCTTCAGTAGATCCCAATGCTGCAACAAATTTAAATCAAGAATAGAATTTGAAATATTCCTTCTCTCATATAAAGCTCTTACTGATAGGTTTCATTATT